TCCACGCTTGCAAAAATTGAATTTATCTAACAATCAACTTTCCGAAAACAAGATTTTTCGGTTCAAACATCGCTGGCATCAATTCCTTTACATATTTCAGAAATTCGGGATCAATTTGTTTCAAGTCGCCAGTTAAATTTGTTCCTTGAGCAACAAACGTACCCGGATATGGCATTAAAAATGCGCTGATTTTCTCAAAACTTGAACGAATTCGTTGTCTTGGCTCACGCATTTCGGGCATTTGTTCTTCAATACTGGTCATAAGTTCATCGATCACACTTTGGCTCCATCCATAACCAGTTTCGTATGCAAATGGCCAGTCACGAATAAGAATCACCAAATGTTGAAATGGTTTCTCGTGCGTTTGTTCCATGACCAATCGTCCATATTCGGAAAATAAATCCAAATTTTGCAAGTCATTTTCTTGAAAGTTTTGCATTAAATTGTAGCATTGAACCGACGAAAGCATTATGCTCAAAGCAAACGTCTTCGCACAATCTTGAATGCTGCTTTGATGGTCAAATATACCTTGTGTGTCTAATAAAATGATGACGATTTTTTCGCCATTCTCAAAATCATGTGTAAACATCTCCGACCACATCCAAATTCCAGTTGTTTCGGGCTTACGACCGCCTCGCCACTTGAAACCATTCAATACACTGTCATTTCCACTGCTTTCAAGCCATTCGATGACGTCGTGTTTCTTGTACTGTTGATAATAAGAATAATTTATAATGAACGGAAGGAAAAATATGAGAAAAAGCCACATTTTCGTTACCTGTGCGTAGAGATATCGTAGGAAAAAATTGAGCAAAAAGCTTTTCCCCTTACGAAATGCACCGGCAATTGAAACTACCACTACGTGACGATCCTTTATCTCATCCGATTCCAGAATTGGGTTTAAATCATTCGAATTGAGGTGAAATGAATGATTTACAGGTGATATAATTTGTATTGCTCTTCCTTTTGAAATATCATCATTTTCATCAACTTGGCCATGAGAGCAAAATATTCCAGTGGAAAGTAATGTGTTCGCAATTAATAAAGCTAACTTCATTTTGACTCTTGCATTTACTGAATTGAATTTACTTATGCCTGGATTTATATTGTAATTATTAACTATTTATAGCAAAATATTGTTACAATCAGCCCTGTTATCAAGAGTTCAGCGATGGGTTGCGCTACATTACTAAGCGGTTATGAACTCAAATATCATTGAAAGTGTTTTCGAAACACAATTAATTAATTTACACAGATATCAGAACCGTCGTATTTCAACAACAAAAACATCAAATGAGTCTTTTTGTAAAGCAGAAGCTGATTCATTTTGATATTATTCAAGGGAAAAGGCAAAACGTACTCGAAAATAAATACAGTCGACTTTCGTTAACTCGAATGTTTCAGTAATTCGAATCTTGTTTTTCAATGCGTAATTCGAATTTGAAGTTCTTTTTTTTTGTAAAATCAACATTTTTACATCCGAAATTCGCTTTATAAAGACTTTTCCTAAGTATTTCTCTTATTTGATGGACACTTTTAAGAAACGCCAGACTTTAATGGAAAACTTTTGATGCTATTATCAACAAATTCACTCAAACGAAGCATTTTAATTTTAAAACCAGTGAAAATCTCTCCAATGTTGGTTTTGTTTAACTGAATTTAAAGAAATGTATGCACAACTTTTGTCAATTAGAATCGATGCACGAAATTTCATTCAGTGTGTCCGTAGATTTTTCAAGCGAAACTTTTTGTAATGCCATCAACACCGAAACGACCAATACTATTTTTGAATTTGAAGGAAAATAGAGAGATTTGAGCGAATTCAGATAAAGATGTGCTTGCAAGTTTGTTGGCAAATAAATATGGTATTTCGTAATAAAGCATGAAAAATGCAAGTCGTCAGTGACAAACACATACAGCATCTTTTTAAACACTTTGAAAACTAATTCGAAGAGGTCAATCTCCCGATGGCTTAGAATTAACGAGAGTCGACTGTACTCCATAATATTTAAATAATATAATTATCATTTTTGTAATGCACCCACAGCCGCACACTATATTTTCCATCTACAAAACTAAGAGCGAAAGTTTAATGCAAATCAAATTCAAAATACATAACGAATTGAGAGTCTGAAGTTCGTGCCGATAAGAAAAACAAATCGAAATAGATAAGTAGTTTTTATCTCACACAAGCTATATAAATTAAAAATTGTTCGTTGAAGTTGAAGATTTTTTATTTAATAGGATGTTTTATGTACAATGTAATTATGTACGAAAGATTATTAATTGATTATGCGGTTGTGATAAATATCCTCACATAAGGTCATTTATGAATATTATGTATGTTGCATTGTCGCTTACTCATTTCCTCAACATCATCGAATCAAATTCAGTTCGCGGTTGTCCTTTGAATAGCTTAGAGAGATTTTGATCATTCAATCCAGAAAAATGAACATTAATTATTTGCTATTCACTTCACTAGTTTTATTAGTACTTAACGTGTCTGCAATTTCTTCAAAATATCCTCATATCAGTGATTGTTACTTTTACGATGCACAGAGTGGAAAGTGTAATGTAACATTTGTGTGTGTTGAGAATCCTCGCGAAAATGATTACTTCACACCGTCAAGATCATCTTGTTTGATCCCACATTATGTATCATATTCAAAAGTGTGGATTGTAACAATAAATTTTAAGAACTGTGAACGGCCAATAATTCCAAATAATATTTTCGACGTCTACACAAGTTTGCAT